CATAGGGTGATGGATATACTTATTAAATAAATAAATAATAGTTAATAAAGTAAAAAAAAAAGATGATAGAACTAGTAATAGTAATATAGTTTATATTATTACTTATATTTAGTTAGGTGCGATGATGTTTTGTTCCTTTGTTATTGTTATTAGCCAAACAAGAGGGTTTATGTTCTTTGTGAAATCTTAACATGAGATAATGATGATTATATCTGTAGTACCTACCTAGTAATAATATTATGCGATGTTTTTTGCGTACCTATGTTCTTTTGCAGCTGGATATAAATTACAATAATATTATTGTATCCACCATGGGCTGCCGTTCTTTTATAGCTAGTAATATAAAATTCGTACATTTGATAAGATTAGGCGTTCGTTCTATGTACTATTTACTTTAATTATCAGTTCTTTAGTAATTGTACCTACTATTGTTGTTCCAATAAAATTTTGAAAAATCAAGACGAATCGTTTTTTATTCAAACTGTTAATAATGGTAAATTGCTTGTCATGATTCTCTGGTTTTGTAGTTATGAAACATATTAATCACCAATGAAATAAAATAAATATTTTTTTTTTGTTGTAACAAGGAAACCTTATTCCTAGGTGTCCGCCTCCAATTTAGTTGCGGTTGAAATATGTTAATCTACATCAAAAATTGAAGAGACACGTAATCTTTTTTTGCAGAAAAACGTTTTTAAGGGGTGAAACAACCTCCGAAGATGATACTCCGTAAGGGTGACATTCAGGATTCACATATTTCTGATATTTTCAGAAAAAACTAAACTAAATTCTACATGAAAAATGATAAAATATGCTTTTTATTGCACATATATGAAACTAAAAAAATGGTAAAGGTGTAGATGATGGTCCCCACACCCAAAGGGGGTGGGGGTGGGGGTATCGAAAGAGGACGTCTCCCCCACCACTATACCATAAAAAGTTCGTGGTGATCTCACCCCCATAAAAAGTTATGGGGGTTCAAATTTAATAAATATGCCATTTTTTATACATTTCTAGGCATGTATTCAAAGGTATATAAATAATGAAANTATTTAAAACCTTTTCAGAATACATTTTCTTTGGGAGAACTCGATTTAAACAGTCTCCAAAATTTACAGACGATTCAATATTTGAAATATTTGCAAACTCCTCCTGCAGTTCTTAATTCCCTACTGCCACCATGTGCTCGCCATGCTGCCCAGGTACAGGATTTATTAATATATTTTTATTCGTTTCACATTTGTTGGTAATGAAAGTGAATCACATTTTATATCAACAGACGTGCGTAATGTCTTGGATTGATTTAATACATACATCATTTGGGGCATTCCATGTCTTTACTATCAATTTTCTCGACAAGCCGTTTGAAATATCGTAAAATGTTCAAAAGGTAAATCCTTGCAACTGTACAACTGGACGATATTTCAAAGAACGATTAGAGACACGTGTTTCTAACGTCATGGAATAGAACATTCCAGTAAAAAGTAAAAAAGGGTAAAAGGTGGAATAGATTAAACATCAAAGAGACCATTGTTTTGATCGATTTGGTATCACTTGATGTGAGATACCTTAAAAATTAATGAACTATTTGACTATGAAATCGCTCATTTATGACAACACCTTCTGTATTTTTAGACTTTGACCCCAGGAAGAATTTATAAAAAAATACTGAAGGTTAATAGTACATTACGTATCGAGGGAGGAAACAGGGTTATTTCCGACTGCATGTGAATGGCAAACATGCAGTCTAAGACAACCCTGTTTCTTCCCGAGGTACGTATACTATTGTTTGTGCGGGAAACTCGTTGATAAATTGATAGTTGGCGAAATAAGAGTAAATGATTTAGAGGTTAGAAAGACATTGTCACTGAACAACTGATTTCTGCGCATGCACATAAACTTCAGCGCATGCGCCGAAAAGACTAAAACACGGCTGAAAAGAGGCCATTTCTTCCTTATTTCATAGCACGCAAAACGAGCTTTCCGCGCTAACATAACAAAAAAGATTTTTTGGTCTATCTCTTCATTTGGTTTATCGTCATTATCATCATTATCATCATCATCATAGGATATCAGGGTGAAACTGGTTGTACACGCACCTTCCTTTCTTCTTGAGTCAGTCATTCAATTTTTCATAAACTTGAACATCGCAAATCTTTAACTTTTGACACAATTCCTCTTTCCTCTCTTGATCTCTGTTTCCGATTCTAGTGTGTCTCTAACAAGACCTTCAGGTCACAAAATCCTACTTCTTATTTTGCCTTACTGACTTCCACAGCGCCATTTATTTACTGGTCGTGCTTCAAAAATACACTTTTCTCAATTTGGTTAGGTACTGAGAAGAATGTTAGAGGTTACTTTAACAATCAACTTGGTCGTATACCCCCCAGGGGTCGCGCTTTCTAAATAACTATCGTAACATTTAAAATTAGTTGTACGACTTGTGGATTTTCATACAAAAATCTAAAAGAGTAGCTATTTCTGATTGAATAGAAATGTCTCACACTATACGAGTTCTCTAACAACATACTCTTCCTTGTCATCAAAAATACGCAATACTTCATGTTCGTTATAAACGGAGAATCAATTTGATATGAAATGCCCCAGTGATAGACATTCATATTTAACTTATGTGGTATTTGGACACAGATAAACAAATCTCTATTTATGAGTAGAGTCTTCTTTTTCAGCCGTTCGGCGTCAATAATGCTGTCGAGCAGTTGATCAAGTTGAATTTGGTCGGTCACACCCAAGACCTTCAGCTTGACAGAATTGCCCGCTTTCATCGTACGGCTGCTTGTAAGTCATCGGCAACAATTTACACTTTTATGCGGTTTGTTTTATTCTGTTCGGTTTTATTAGCTGTCTTCGATGCCACCTGCACATGGAGTGGAGTGTTGCCGCCGCGTACGACCAAACCGATTGGTTATTCAAGCAAAGTGTTCCTGGGAGGTGTTCCGTGGGACATTTCCGAACAGTTGCTCGTCCAAACGTTCAAACCTTTCGGGAATATACGTGTTGAGTGGCCGGGGAAAGAGAAACAGGCTTCCCAACCCCGTGGTTACGTCTATATAATATTCGAGTCGGAGAAGAATGTGAGAGCACTGTTGCAAGCATGTTCCAGCGATCCAAACAATTCGGGAAACTGGTTCTTCAAGATATCTTCCAAAAGGATGCGTTCTAAGGAGGTAAGTGGTTTGAATTTCTAATTCTTGTATTAACAGGTATACCTCTGGAAGTTAGTACAACAAAGGGTAAGTTGTGGTGGTAGTTTTTGGCTCTTGTTCTTGGATGCAGGTAAGGGAAGCAGAAAGTCAAATAAAGATTCACCAACTGAGAAGAGAGTATTATATTGGTCGATTTAGTATCATTTGATGTGATATATAGTCAGAAATTAATGAGTTACCTTTTTGACGTTGAGTCATCTTCTGTATTGGTGAGCTTTATTATGCAATAATGAAGTCTATAGTTACCATGTCATCCCTTAATGAAGTTCACGGTATGAAATCAGATATAGGTACTATCAGGGTTGTAAAGGTTTATTGTTAATAAAAGCTTCACTACAAGGAATTCTAAGTATATTTAATATCTGACGGTGACTATACCGTTGCGATGAAAGCAGAAGCTCTCCAGTGTTTGAGGTTAGGTACTTGACGATCATCAGTTATGTTGTTAGGTACCTTTTTTCGAAGATCCGAATTTTCGAGGATGCGTGCTCTATGTTTGCTTTATATTACAGGAGATTCTTTCCGTTTCACTTCATTTTCTGTATCCATTCGTTTGAACTTCTTAGGACAGATATTACTGAAGTCAAGTATTTAGGCTCGCTTATAATTTTGTCCTGTGCAGTAGAGCGATAAGAATTCTCAATTTCTGAGAGGCGAGCTTTTCTATCAATATCCTCTTAGCGTCTTTTGGCATTTTTCTTCGTTCACTTCTCTCCTCTTTCCTTAGTCTGAATTATACAGAAGAGAAAGTAACTGGAATATTTACTTGCTCGTAGGTAATCCAAAATTATAGTAATCAATTTTTATTTTTACAAGATCATATCCAGTAAGATGACATTAAAGAAACAGTTTTGGGTTTGGTTCCTATTTAGCATTTATCCTATAAAATTATTTACATTTGATCAACGATTTCCAAACTAAATTTTTTGGATTTTTAGACTGGAAGGTGATTCTGCCCAACAGTTTCCTTGCCAAATGATGATGATTTTGACAGAATTCCATTCCATAAGGTAGCTAATTAGGTCAAATACGGAAATAAGTTAAAGTAAGGATTTCTAAAAGCAACCTCTAGGTTTTTTTATTTATCTTGTTGTAGATTCTTAAATTTTCAGTTCTTAACAGTAAAATGACAAGCTTAGAAAGAATATAGGTAAACAGTAGAAGAGAAGTAAGTGAAGTTGTCGATAGATATTTCGATTTTTTTCTTTCTTTTGGATGTTTCATTCCCACCAGCCAGTAATGCTAGTGAGTGGGCAGTCCCTCTGGACTACGCCGGAAGGTAGGGCCTTTTCAACCTCCTTTTAGGAATCGTGGGAATGGGTGGGTGATGGTTAGGGTGAGAAAGATGAAACGGACGAAATAAAGATAGAAGAGAATGAAAGATTATCTGTGGTATATTACTGCCCCAGCATTTGCCTAAGTGATCCAAGGAAACCACAGAAAAACTTGGACCAAGGCAGACGGACTCAGAATCGAACCGGCGTCCTCGCGAATGCTAAGCAGTGGACTAAACCTCTAGGCCATGCCACTCGGTGTTGGTACCTATGTTGTTTTTGTGGAAGAGAGGAAATCTTTGATAGACACCCAGCCATCTGTACGACTATGTAGTATCGGATTCCCAAAGAAGAAGTCCTCGGAGCTACCGACTATTCGTACTGATTTTTGTTTTGTTTTCGTGAAAGTGGGGAAATCTTCAAAAGACACCCAACCGTCCATACAACTGGTTAGTGTCGGATTCCCAAGGAAGATGTCCTCAATCAGGTGGACCCGGAATTGAAACGGCGTCCTCCAGAATGCCAAGCAATGGTCTAAACCTCCAGGCCATGCCGCTCGGTGATCTTTCGATCTATTTCCTTAACTTAGGGAATATACCAACACAGCTGGTGTATTTAATCGACCATCCACTCGTTATTCTTGTATTATTTTGATAATTCCTCTCAATCATTGACGGATAAATTTAGTCTACTGTTTGGCTCTCTGATGACAAATAAGTTTCTGACTCAAAAGTTAATTTCTAATGTTATTCCATTTGTTTATCATTCATTGTACACTCGGTAATTTTGTCGACAGGTTCAGATAATTCCCTGGATTTTAAACGACTCCAACTACACCAAGTCTACGTCTCAAAAATTGGATCCAAGCAAGACTGTTTTCGTTGGTGCACTTCACGGCATGCTGAACGCTGAGGGTTTGGCCAAAATAATGAACGATCTGTTCGACGGTGTCGTCTATGCTGGTAAATAATTAACAATCAATTCTGAAAATTAAAAAAAATGTATATGTCTTTGTCCCTAGGCATAGACACAGACAAGTACAAGTATCCGATTGGATCTGGTCGAGTCACATTCAATAATAACAGATCCTACATGAGAGCTGTCGCTGCGGCTTTCATCGAAATAAAAACAGAAAAGTTCACCAAGAAGGTAAGTAAATTAATTATTGTCATAATTAATACGTTATTTTTAGTTAGGTTGAAGTACTCTATCCCTGAGTAGTTTGATTTTGATAAGAACAAATTTTAAGTTTGAAATGTCAATATTTGTGCCTGAATCAAAAGTTCTTAGTAAGAAAAAACCATTGGATGTTTAATTTTTTCATTAAGGGGTTACATATGAAAAAGCGTCTCATAAACATTGGTTTATTTATTTATTATTATCTATTTATTACACATTGAGAGTAGATTTTTCTGATGCTTTATTAAACAATTCGGAATGACTGTTAACTTTTGTTAATATGAAAAAAATGTGTTAAATTCTTCAATAACTTTGATTTCTGATCGTATTAGATATGTAACATGGTAGATAGATAGACAATAGACTTGAGATGCAAATTAAACTGAGTCCTCCAATCATTAAAAAACGTCCACGATATCTTTCAAACAAATTAGATACATGTACCTTGCGGTAACCTAAAGGTATTATGGAGCTAGGTATATTTGAAGATAAATTTTTCAGTAGATGCAAACTTAAGATATAAAAACATCTACAAGTGGTTTGGGGTTGGTTAAGGGGTCCTTAACTTCTTGGAATTTCTCAGGATGATAAATAGAATAAATGGGCGACTTCAAAGTCAAATAACTCATAAGCTTCCAATCATATCTCACGTTACACCAAGCGGCATGGCCTATAGCTTTAGACCATTGCTTAGCATTCGGGAGGACGCCGGTTCGATTCTGAGTTCATCTGCCTCGGTCCAAGTTTTTTTGTGGTTTCCTTGGATCACTCAGGCAAATGCTGGGGCAGTAATATTCCACAGATAATCTTTCATTCTCTTCTGCCTTCATTTCGTCCGTCTCATCTTTCTCACCCGAACCACCATCCACCCATTCCCACGACTCCTGAAAGGAGGCTGAAGAGGGTTTTCCGCCCTATTTTCCGGCGTAGTCCGGGGGGACTGCTCGCCCAACAGCATTACTGACTGGTGGGATGAGAAACACTTAAAAGTTTTTTTTTTCACGTCTTTTTTTTGATGTGTAATTGATAAAATGAATTGGAAGATCAGACTCTAAGATTGAAAGTCAAAGTCATATTATTCAAACTCTCATTCAATGACTTGAAGAGGTTGGACTGAAGAAGTGAATCCACTTATATCATATTATGATCAAGAAATTCAGTCAGTCAGCCAGCCAATTGTTACTATTAGTCATTATAACAACTAAACACTTAACAAAAGCTAAAAGTTCACTAAATGACACCTGCACGCGCATCTGCATGACCAGGTAATGGTAGTTTTAACTAATTTTTGAACATAATTGTCCCATTGGCTACATTCAGTTAAATATTATCAATTACATATCTAAGGAGTATTGTTTTTGGATTTATTTGGTGCCAACTGATGTAAGATATGATTCATGATGATGATGATGATTTATCAGAAACCCATGAATTATTTGACTTTGAATTAGTCCTCCTATCTACAAAACTCCACATACTAGCGATGCAACGGAAGTGTCATAACGAAAACCAAAGCGGAAACAGAAGTAAATAGTAAATTTTTGCGGAAGCGGAAATGGAAACAGGAAGCAAATGGAACTTCTTATTGACTTCAAAATTGCACTTTTAACTTAAAATTTACACCACTCAGCAAACACTATACAAAATAAATAATCGCTATAACTGCAAGATCTTTTTGAAGTTCCAAGAACATGTTTAGTAAAAAACTATAAGCAGTAATGGGCAATACTTATAATATCTTGAGTTTGCTCATGGTTTTAGTAAGATCATTCTTAATCAAGATTGAAGATTCTATTTTTCAAAAGGGTAGTTTTTTATGAAAACTGATGCAATTCATTTTCAACTATTGAGACACATCTCGTAATAAATTGAACGCTCATTATATTTAGTTCAGCTGTCCGAGGACTTAAAAAGAATCTTGCTGAACTTTAATATTTTTTTTTTTAAGTTGCTTGTTTAGGTTTTTATCCAATTCCTACAAAAACTTCAATTCTGTTAGGTACAAGTCGATCCTTACTTGGAAGATTCGTTGTGCTCGATGTGCGGTGTCCAACAGGGTCCATATTTTTGTCGCGAACTGATGTGTTTTCGCTACTTTTGTCGCACCTGTTGGCAGTGGCAGCACAATCAGGAACTGCGCCATCACAAGCCGCTCATGCGCAACTCCAAGACGAGCAACCTCGTGGGCTTGGGAAGCGGCGGCAACGCCGGAACCGGAAACGGCATCGGTGCATCCTCTTTGCCTTCTCAATAAATTAGATCCGAAAATGCGTGCTACTCTACTCTGCTCTTCTCATTACTTACTTTTAAAAAATTCCCAAGACGGTGCAACGCGACCGATTACTACGTCAAACAAAACACACATACAATAGCAATAAAAATCAAAATAAATATCAAACGCTCACATTATACATACGTACGTATGTACACGTGGCAGGGTCGCGGCGCTATTTCTTAATTAACAGTAAAAATACAGTACGTTTAATTACGTAATTGAAACACTTTTATCTGCTTTTGGCCATGCGAACTCTCATTTATTATCTTTATCTTTCTATTGTCTCTTTTTTCGTTTGCATTTATGTTATTGGAGCAGTATACATATGATAAATATGAAGATGCATTTGTTGGGGTGTAACGCCCTGTGCATCAGGTCGTTCGTTACTTGTCGGTACAGTCCTTAGGTAAAGTTAATAATGATGAAAATGGGTGAATCAAAAATGTGCCTTTTTACAGAAAAAGATAAAATGGAAAGTGTTGTGTAAGTATAAAATATTTAACTTTAACTTTGAAGTACGTAAAAAAATTGATAAGTAATTACGGTGAACGCAACGTTAAATGGAGTTAAGTGCTCTAGTGCAATTTGTGGATGGGTAATTAAATATTAAATTAATGATTTTACAAGGGACTTTGACAATTTTACCGTACTAATATTTAAAAACAGTGGTTTTATGAACATATCTATTACAATAAATATTATGAATTCACTACCAAAAAGTTTAATTAACTTAGCGTTGTATTTGTTAAAAATTGGTAATTGTGCAGATGATGGGGCTCCCTTTCGGGTTTTGGTATCTTTCTAGATAGTGATAGAAGGGTGGAAACGGAAAGGTATAGGTGAAAATTGGTAAGGGCGTGAATGAAAAGTGATATTGTATAACAAGTTTTAAAAAAAAGAGGATGGTGAAGGCGTGTAAGTGAAAAATCGAAAATTTGAAAATAAATATCTCCCCTAGATCTACTAATTTAAATAGTTGGAGCGATTTTAGCCAGAAAACATAAAAAAAGAAT